GTGGACTCAATTTGCACTATTTCTAGCAGTCTGCAAAGGCCCTCTGTGCCAAAAGCAAACTAGTTTTTACCAAAATCACATTGGGACTGAAAGAAATCACAGATGTGGTTGCCCTGGGAGAAAATATTAAAATCAGGAATTATGTAAAACTTCCTCTAGGAATGATTGGAACACTTAGGTGCCTTCAGAGAGAAAAAGTAGAAGCAGGAAAAGCATAATGATTCTGTTCTATTATTTATTTACACATTTCTTTATGCATTTTATGTATTCACTTATTTATATTATCCCCTTCTCAAGGAAATTAAAGAGCAGAATTAAAAATATACCATGTACGCATAATTAAAAGCATGAACCATAATAATAATAATAATAATAATAATAATAATAATAATAATAATAATAATAATAATAATAATATTTTATTTATAACCCGCCCCTCTGTACAGCAATCGGGGCGGCTTACAACAAGATAAAATACAACAATTAAAATTCCAAATTCTTGTACCCTCCACCCACTACCCTCACCCCTTAAAATTAAAGTAAAAACATAACACAGTACATACAAACACAAAGCAATAAGCTCCTTGGACCTGGCTATAGCCATAAATCAGTGTGAAGAAATACATTTTTAGTTGTTTTCAAAAACTCATCATTTTATGGAGCCATTCAGAAACCCTTAACACAAGACACTATATCATGAGCCAAGCCCCCTAGAAAGAAGGAGCAGGACTGGGATACTGGTCTTCTCATACCCTCCAACTATCCTGATTTGGTAGGGACAATCCCGATTAATCCTCTGTCATCCCATTTTTTTAACTGTTTCTAAAATGTTCCAGTTTCTCTGTCTTTCCTCCTCCCATTTCTTCCTTTACTTCAATTGCTGCAAAGGCAATCCCCTCTCAACTCAGCATAAGGGAGAGGAAGGTTGCTGTTGCTTGTAGACTCAATAATCCAGTTGCCTTCTCTACCAGCTGAGGCTATTCTGGACCACCTTCAAGGGCAGTTCCTTGCATTCTTGATCCCGAGACTGAATCCCCTCAAAGGGAACAGATCAGGAGTCTGAAATTGTTCCTTAATCAATCTCTGTAATCAGAAACTCATGTTGTTTTTAATGCCTTTTGCTACCTTTAGCTGACATGGTAGCTGCACACTGTTTTGGCAGAGATAATTTGCTCTTCACTATCTATACTCTGTCAACCTCCAGGACAGACTACCATAATATGTAATACTTGTGGATATCTTTGAAAATAATTTGGAAATTGCAGTTAATTGTGAACGTTAGCTTGCCATATATTTCCCCTGTTGTCTTTTGGCACCAGACAAAACCCTGCTTGGAATTTCCTCTATGTATTGAGATATTTTAGCCTTGGTGACTATTGATTCTAAGATCTTGCTGTGTTTTTAGTTGATTATGCTTCCTCATTTTTGTATTTTAAGTGATTTATTGTCTTGCCTTTATTGTATTCTTGTCATTGCTGCTTGGTGAACCAAACATTTTTGAGAAGTTTCTCAGAAGTCTGAAAAGCAATATACGTACAACATGCTGCAATTAATCAAATCAAGTTTTGAAATATTAATTTGTTTGCATCACTCGACAGTCTCTTACATTATTGCTACTCAAAGTAGTGGTCCTTGGAATGGTGGCAGTGTGTGAGCTGTTAGCTCAGTCCACAAAGAGTTTCCAGGAAAGAAAGAAAAAATTGTAGCAAATGGGCACCGAGATGGTACTGGACCCTGGCATATTGGGGCTGTGGGTGGTGGTGGTGGGAGATTGTGAAGCTCCCATATCAGACAGCCTGAGAAGCATTGTCCTAAATGTTTTCCATGGTGTTATTGTGCAGTTGAAAGCAAAATTGGCTTCCTATCAGTGAAAATGGGAAAGGAAATGTGGCACTACCATCTCAGATGAAATTAAGATATGGGTATGCACCATAATTCTAATTTGGGAATAAATCATAGGGAACATTTTTATCAAGGCTGTAATGATGTTGCCTTACTCCAATCAGGATAGATAAAATATATACAGGATGTGTAGACATCTGTTGAATGCGCAGAATGATGGAAGCCAATTGCTCCAAGATTATACTATGTTGGAAATCAGTTCCACAATATATCAAAGAAATTACTGGCTGTGATATACCATTAAACTCTATTTCTGCTTTAGCTGGCTATCAGAAAAGCTCCTGATGACTCAGAGATGACAATATTCTTCTTTACAGCTGGCATGATGGCAATTGCTTAAAGACAGAAAGAAAAAACCGAGATCCTCTATCTAACAGTTGAATGGTAATTTACAGTACCTTGCTTCCTGCTAGACTAGGTGATCAAATATGTGTTGTTGTTTTTTGGAAAATTCACAGAATGTTTTGGTGAAAAAATTATAATGCCTTACCTTTCAGGGTAAAGGGAGAAGGGTATACTATGCCATCTTGATCTTTTGGATTTCAGCACCCATCAGACCTAGCCTGCTTGGCTTGTGATCAAGGATAATGGGAGGTGTAGCTGAAAACATTGGAAAGATACAAAATCTGAAAATACTTCTCTACTGTGGAAAGCACACTGTGTATGTGGTGAGGAGAGTATATCTACTTAAAGCAGTGTTATTAACATTAAAAATGGTCTCTGTTATCTCAGGCACTTTTAGAAATTCTGACATAAACAATTATCCATTATTTTAAAGCTTTCTCCTATCTCTTCTTTAGGCTGTAGGGGTGAACTAATAAGCATTAGGAACAAAGATTTCTCAGAAGTTGAAAAAAAAAATCTGTCTGGACAGGAGAATTTATCAGGCACTGCACTGAAGAACATATTTATTAGCCCATGAAAATGCAAAGCTAGCTCTGGGAACATGGGATGTGCATTGGTGAGCCATGTTTAAATATTAGCAAAAAGGATGGGGGGGGGGGGGGGGTGGAGAGGAAAAAAGTCCTGGCAACCAAGACAGGGCTTATCATTTGCAACTCCAAAAAGAAGCCTGTAGCTATACAAATCTGGAAATAATAAATGTAACCCACAGGACAGTTGCTTTGGATTTTGAGAAGCTTTACTTTAAAGCTGGTATGTAGGCTTGTTGAGCGAGCGAGTGCGGTTGGCAAAGATGCTAACGATTTATGGAATGTATCTTTGGAGGGGATTAAAGGCGAAACATATTCCTTTTAAATTTATAAAGAAATGCTCTAAAGTAGGAATATTGCTTTAACGGGTGAACATGAAGTCTTAAAACATATTGCACATAAAGTTTTTAAAGGTTACAATCTTGTTTAAGCCTCCCCCGCCCCCCCTGCTTCCCAGTTCTATTGCATGGGATTGAATTCCAGCTAGCCTTGAGGAAGTCATTCCCATGTGAAGTCCAAGGAAAAGGTCAGAAAGTTGGAGGCATGCTGGCTAATTGAGTCAGTTCCAAATCCGACTGTGTCCTACTTGCAGCTTGGCTGTAACAATGCAATAGTATATATATAATGTGCAAACAGTCTGATCACTTTCCTTTGTGCCCTTCCCTTCTATTTTGGAACCTTAATTAATAACTACATTACTTAACTCATTTAAGATTCTATTTTCCCCCAAAACTGAGGCTGCATCTACACTGTAGAATTAATACAGCTTGACATTGTTTTAACTGTCCTGGCTGAATGCTATGGAATTCTGGGATCTGTAGTTTTGTGAGGCATTCAGTCTCTTCTTTCTGAGAGCACTGGTGCCACAACAATCTGCAAATCCCAGGATTCCATAGAATGGTGCCATAGACATAGGATGGAGCCATACAGTGATGTCAAACAGCACTAATTCTGCAGTGTGGCAGCAAGGAGGCTTACAAAAATTGAAACAAATAAAAAGACATACCAAAATGTGTAACTAAAAACCTACAAAAGATCCTTGTTAAATGTGATTAAATGACAATATCCACAGGGTTAAAGCCATTTGAATAAAATCCATTGCAAAGGTAGAAGAGGAAAATCTATAGAACAGCACACTTTGCAGTCAGTTCCCAAAATCTGCCAGAATATAAAGGCTTTTTGCCTATTGATGGAAAGACAACAAGAAGGGAACCATCCCATCCTTCTTGGATGGAGGGGAAGGTCCAAATCCCAGGAGTAGTCACTGAGAAGGTCATCTTTCATATTTCCACCAGATGTGCCTTTGAAGGTGGTGAGACCAAAAGAAGGGTTTTCCCCAAAGATCTCAAAGGTTGGGCAGGCTTATATTGGAAGATATGAAGAGCCAGTGTGATGTAGTGGTTTGAGTGTTGGACTACAACTCTAGAGATCAGAGTTCAATTCTCTGCTTAGCCATGGAAACCCACTGGGGGATCTTAAGTGAATCATACACTCTCAGACCTAGAAAACCCCATTATAGGCCCACCTTGTGATCAGTAAGCTGGAAATGACTGAAGGCACACAAGAACAATGGTTATTTAGGCAGCCTGGAACGAAGCTGAATATGATTTTATGAATAGCACTTTGAATTGTTGTCAGAAATGGATCAGTAGCCAACAGAGTTATTGCAACAAGAATCAGAGAATTGGAAGAGACCACAAGGGCCATCCAGACAAAACCCCTGCCATGCAAGAATACACAACCAAAGGACTCCCAACAGATGGTCATCCAGCCTTTGTTTAAACCCCCCAGAGAAGGAGACCCCACCACTCTGTGAGGGAGTATGTTCCACTGTTGAACAGCTCTCACCACCAGGAAGTTCTTCCTAATGTTTAGATGGAATCTCTTTTCCTGTAGCTTGAACCCATTGTTCCATTTCCTAGTCTCTGGAGCACCAGAAAACAAACATGGCTGAACCCCTAGACTCTGATATGCTTTTTAACTGTCCAGGAGCACTCCTGTCTTGTCTGGATTAAGCTTCAACTTGTTTACCTTCATCCAGTCCATTATTTATGACAAAAATTAATTTAGGACCGGAATAGCTTTCTTTGACTGTAAAGAGAAATACACTGGGTGTCATCAGCATACTGGTGACCTCCTCCACCAAAAATAATAACAATAACAACAGAAAAAGGTAAAAGTAAAGGTATTCCCTGTTGTCAAGGTTATCAAGTTGTGTCCGACCATGGGTGGTGGTGCTTATCTCCATTACTAAGCCGAAGAGCCAGTGTTGTCAGAGACTACTCTGTGATCGTGGGGCCAGCATGACTGCACAGAACGCTATTTACTTTCTCACCAAAGTGGTACCTATCTATCTACTTGCATTTGCATGCTTTCAAACTGCTAGGCTGGCTGAAGCTGGGACTAGTGACAGGATCTCACTCCATCATGCAGCACCCGGGCCTTGAACTGCCAACCTGCCAATCTTGCAGTCAACAGTCAGTGTCTTAACCATATGAGCCACCGCATCCCACAACAACAAGACAACTAAAAAATATACTCCAGAGGTTTCATGTATATATGTTAAATATACTTTTTCAGTCTTCTCTCATTTTCTGATGGAGAAAAATCTAAAGATTAAGATTATGATGAGAGGAAAACTGAAGCCTCCCTGATGACAGTCTGAAGAAATCTGGAATTTTCCTATGCTTTGTGTGTGTGTATGTGACTATGTGTATTAATCAGTTTGTTATCTCAGCATTGAATTTCCATGAGGTCTTAATCAGAAACATTTACAACCCATCATTCTAATTTTCTAGCTTGCAAGAAAATTAATGTAATTGACTACAGAGTCAGTGGGATATTTGTTTGGGTGCTAGTGGTTTTGTTGAGTCTATGCATTATTATTTTTTATGACTGTGCATTGATTAAAGGCTCTGTTACCCTCCACCTGCAGATGACTGGTTTAATAGATTAGGTTTTGTTAAAAATGTTTTGGACTGCAATTCTATGTGTGCCTGACAGTATACCCACTGCAATCAGTGGGGTCTTAATAAAAATGGAGAGGACTGAACTGAACATTTGTTTTTATTAAATGACTGAGGAATCTCAGTTTATCTCAGCAATCTCTTTCAAGGGGCTTCATGTAAAAGCTTTTTAAAAAGAAAATGGTTCTCCTCTGTTCTTAGAGAATAACATTAGAAAGTTACTTTTTAAAAATTCCTGCATATCAAGCAAACTACATTTGAATATACTTCCCCTAATTTGCTAAATGTTTACTTGTGTGGAAGGGAAGTTTTTCTTTTTCTTTTTACATACACTCATGGAATGGTTGAAATGGAGGAGACATCAAAGATAATCTGATCCAACTCCCTGCTGATCATGAATTCTTCTGAATTGGTCTATGCATTACTTCTGATCTAAGGTGATACACAATACCATCAGAATTCTATCTTTGGCTGCTCATATCTGTGCCTATGAGTCTCATAAGTTAAACCATCAAATTACAGGAGTCTACATATGCAGTGAAGCACTTTCAGGTCCTGGACTGACTACCCATCCAGGTTGGCCATTAGATTCCCCTGGGGATGAAGGAGTACAAAGCCTTCCAATTACGGTAAGCTTTGCTTGTGGAACATCAGTTTGAATCCTATGATTAATCCCAACAAGACTAGATCCACTGAATCTATGAAATGTACCTATGTAATAATGCACTTATCCACCATTGATCCAAGATATTTACTTTAATCAGGACTAACTAATAGGATTGGGGCAAGGGTTTTCCTGAATTTGGATATGTTCCTATATCAGAGCTAGTGTGGTGTACAAGTAGTGGTTTGAATGTTGTTCCAATCCCCATTCAGCCATGGAAACCCACTTTGTGACCCACTTGGGCAAATCACTTCAGGGCATAGCTACAAGTTGTAGATGTTCAAAATGAGGGCATTGCTCCCCATAATAATGCCCCCATTGGAACTTTCTTTCAGTCCCCAAATTTCTAGCATTATAGAGGCATAACACTTTAGTTGAGCATTTAGAAATATAGGCTGAGATCCTGCATCAGACTCATAGCCATGATATTGTGGCCACATTTTGTCTCCTGGCACCCGAAACCCACCTTAAAATCCATCCACCCTTGCTGCAGAACCCACCCACCCCCCAAAAAAAGTCTAGATTTTAAGGTGGGCTTCATAAGCATTTACAATTGTAGCAATGGCACCACAAAAGTAAATGTGAAAAGGAAACAGCCATGAGGTCATAATGCTAACCTATGATACTGTAACTCACCATCAGGATGCCACCTATACTTTAGACACACAACCAACCAACCAACCAACCAATCAATCAGTAAGAGAAAGGTAAAGTCATCTAGGAAATGTAAACATAGTAGATACAAGCATTCTAGATATGAATGATTGTCAGTGTCTCCCCTCCGCAATGTAGAAGGAAAATTTCATGGGGGGGGGGGGAGAGAGAGATTTTAGCCCTCTCTGTAACTACTCCATGAGGCATACTCTCTTTGTCTAAGAGGAAGGCAGTGTTAAACTTCATCTGAAGAAAAATTATGATAAGGATGTCATAAGTCAACATCAACTGCAAAGAACATAACAACCACACATGCACTTGGATCTTTTTCTTTAAGCCTCATTTTACACTTGCTCCTGTCTACTGCATTGGTCTAGCTCTCAATCAGTCCTGACTTGCTACTGATCTTGAGTCCTCTCATGGTCTCCTCAGCTCTATATCCTGGTTTGGCCTTTGATTCTTACATCTTACCAATTCTGACTATTGGTTGTTTCATGGTTTCTGTAAGGATCCAGTGGAACCACCATGTGTAGGGTAACACTTTGGTCATCCTATGAAACATTTACTTCCATATCATATCACTTCTGGACTTGTCTGATGTCAGAAGCTAAGCAGGACCAATTGTCCTGATTTGACAGTATCCAATTAATCCTCTGTTGTCTCACTTTTTCAGCTGCTTTAAAATGTCCCATCTTATCTCTACTCCTCCTACCTTTCTTAGCTTACTTCAGTTGCTGCAAACTGACTTCATAATGCACAAGAAGCAATTCAGCTGGAAATCAGTACAGATCAGAACTGAAAATATTCAGCTAAATGGACCAATTACCATACCAGGATAGATGGACAGAGTTACCAATAGTGGACTTGATAGACCAATTCAATATACAGGAGTTTCCAATGTTCCTTATTCTTAAATTGTTTCATTTTTATTGGTGCCAAGCAGCTCTCTCATAGCATGCAGTCTAAAAATTGTTACTGAGATAATGCACCTGGAATGGAAATGTATCAGTCCCATAGGATTTTTAAATCTCCGGTCATCTGCCACAAATGGTTCAAAAAACCCACCCAGCCATAGATGAGTCCTAAAGCAACATTAATAGAGCCAGAAGGGTATTTGCCATATAGGAAGCATGACTGGGTTGGGAGGAAGTGAGGAGCATAGTGGATGATACAGATGGGGCAGTTATCTTGAGGAAGTGAAATGCCCATCCACAGTGATATTTTCTTACATATGGTTTTTATGGGTGGGGAGACAGGAAAGAGACATTTTTAGGACAGCTGTTTTATTTTGGGATGATAACCTTCATGAGATGGGTTCACACAGCTGAAGCTACTGCAAGAGACTGGATGTTTTAAAAAGCTCAGAAATGCTCCTACTATTTTAAAATTTTATTTTATTATTACGTATTATTTTTAAATGTTTCCTATTGGATACCAGCGGAGAAAAGAAAAACCCATAAAAATGAGGGAGGCTCCCAAAGACATCATTTCAGTTCCTGAACATGCTGAACTATACAAAGGAAGAACTCTGACCTTGATGAGAAGGGCAAGAGATGCCAAAGGGCAACCATGTTTGGCTACATTATGATGCTCTCAACCAACACACCCTCTAAGCAAACACAAATGTACTGTACAGTCAGTCTGAAAAATAGCAATAAAGCTGTATGGTAAAGACTACTGCTTTATGCTTGTGGATATCTGCTGATCATGCTTAACTGTATAAACCAGGGGTAGGCGACCTTTCCCCTTTAAGGGCCAAGGGACTTCAGCTCCCAGAAGCCTCAGCCATGTTGGCCAATAGTCCCATGTTGGCCAATAGCTCCTGGGATTCTGGGAGCTGAAGTCCCTCGGCCCTTAAAGGGGAAAGGTTGCTTACCCCTGGTATAACTTATAGGCAGACCTATTAGCAATATTAGTATTGTTGTTGTTGTGTGCCTTCAAGTCATTTCTGACATGGTGACTCTAAGGCGAAGCTATCATGGGGTTTTCTTGGCAAGATTTGTTCAGAGGAGGTTTAGTAGGCCTCATGCCTACTATGATTTCAAGTGAATTGCAGATCAGGTTATATGACCATTGTTCTCACTTGAAACCAGTTTCGATCCTATTGAGTTC